TTGAGCCGCCTATACAGTAGGCTTTGAGAATATGAAAAAGGCTGCATACCTACAATTAGGTTAGGTTATTGTCATACTTTTGATTTTTGAGTGAGGTCTTCAACTCTATTATACAGTGAGCAGTGGTGGAGACCGGGAGGGGCTGGAGGTGGCCACGACCCCTGCAAGAAAAAAAAATTCTTAAGTATGCATTATGTATAAATACTTTTAATCTGTAAAAAGTATATTGATATTTTAAACTTTGACCCCTGTAATATAAAATTCTTAAGGACCGGCCCCTTTAACCATAAATGTCTGGCTCCGCCACTGACAGTGAGTATTTCAAGGCTAAAGGATAATTCAAAATTATGCTCCGTATTTACGGTAATACCAACTCATCTATAAATATTGTCTTCGGAACAGTTCATTCGAAAACTGCAAATCTAGAGTTACTCCATTTATTCTATCAATTTTAGTTTTCTGTAGCAAACATGTTATGTACTTATGCGATCAGGATCCTCTGCCATAAGGCAGAGTGCCTTGCGGCATCCGACGGCAGGGAGGTGACGAGGACGACCTCAAGATCGGCGAAGGGGTGGAGTCCAACATCTTCGGCCGTCCAATTCCTGATCGAGCGGCCCGGAAGAGCCAGAGACCATGCCTTGCTTTAAAGCAAGACAGAGGCTCCGGATCCGTACTCATGTGTGTTTAAAAATTTACAATTATAATACGGAGTATCAACAGGAGGTAAGTGTGTACGTGGGAGATCATACCAACAGAGAAAGATCCAGATGAACTCTCCTCATAATCATCACAAACATTATACCAACGACGATAAAACATGGAGGAGCCCAACGGCATCAGGGATGGGTGTCTGCTAATAGGCTAATATAATTACAAAGTATTCCTAAATAGATATTAGGCATGGCTAATATAATTAGGAATCTACCTAATAGATATTTAGGAATCTGCCTAATATCTATTTAGGAATACTTTGTATTTTGGCAACTCTTCTACTATAAATATATCTGTCAGGACTCCTATTGGAGTACCTCTTTCCCATTATTTCACATGGTATCAAGAGCTTAGGTTTTTAGATACAGTTTTTTTTTCTTTTTTTCGGTTCTCATGAACCTTATTATAGCCGCCGCCGCCTCAGGGTCGACTGCCGCCACATTTACGGTAGTCTCTAATCCTTTGAAGATGAGCGCGGCTAATATGGCGCAGATCACCTCCTTCGCGTCGCTGAACACGGTGCTTGCTTCCAGCATGCCGTTGAGTTCGCCGCCTGCTGCTGCCTATGTCCGCGCAGCCCACCTTCTCTGCGTCGCTGACCACGGTGCTTGCTTCAAGCGCGCTGTTGAGTTCGCCGCTGGCTGCTGCAGACATATATTCTCATGGAGATCTTATTGTCAAAGATGTGCCTTCTAATCTTCCGCTCACAGATATATTTACTAAGAGTGTTTTTTTAGTTTGCAATTTCATTTTTTTTAAAAGACAACCTGCGCGTTGTATCTCCCGCACAGTTTGAGGGGGTGTAATAGGCTAATATAATTAGGAATCTACCTAATAGATATTTAGGAATCTGCCTAATATCTATTTAGGAATACTTTGTATTTTGGCAACTCTTCTACTATAAATATATCTGTCAGGACTCCTATTGGAGTACCTCTTTCCCATTATTTCACATCTGCTTCATTATACCATCAGACTGCCGGTTTTTGCCCTCTATGATATAAATAAAAAAGCAATTTATATCATAAATGGTAGAAATGTGATCATAATAACGATAAATGGTAGCTATTTGTTTCATACTCAGATCTTCCTTATCATATAGATTGTGTGTGTAAAACTGTTAATGTTCCCACATACGGAGTATAATTTTAAATTATTTTTACGTTAATTAACACATAATTTATTATTTTATTTTTACGACATAAAGAGAAAAGTGAAATTCAAGAACATTCCGTACTTTTAGGAACCAACATACATGTTCTAAATTATTTCCTTATCACCGTTGGAAAGTTGTTATGAATAATTCATAACTTCATAAAAAAAATGCTAAAGCATACATTTTTAGAAGTATTCAACTTTTATACTCCGTATTAAAAAAATTCTATTTAAATTGACAGATTTAGCTTCACTATTTTTTCCCTCAAAAAAGCTAAATGAAAATAACATTGAAAATTAAATGAATTTCCTCAACTTGATTATTTGACATTGAAAATAACATTCAACTTTATATAGGGGTCACCAAACAAGTTCTAAAACTTTAATTTATACTACGTATATTGTTAATTGCAATATAATTGCTCTCCAATAATGAGGACATTAGATGTGAACATGAAACCACAGGTAATGATTTATCATGAAACAAGAAAATATATTACCTCAACAAATAATGAACTTGGAGGTGAAATCATTTTTATCATACAAAATTAAACCAATTCAAACGGTTATATATATTAAAATCGTGTTAATCTATTTTAAAACCGTGTTAAATTATTTGTCGAGGGTTATAAATTGACCACACCAACAATGTTGCTTACAAATTAGCGTTTCAAATATATAAACGTTTCAAATAAACGTTTCGAAAATATCATTGTAATATTTATTTAATCTTTTTTCTAAAATATTGTCTACACCAACTTTGGTTGTCTATTCCTAATTATCTCTTTTATTATATATTCCGTATAACATCTTATTCTCTTTTAATACTCTTGAACTTTCTATTTATGTAAAACTTTTGGTAACTAATTTTTCCAACATATTATGTGATACATTTATTTTTTAATTTTGTTCCGTGCATCGCACGGGTGAAAATCTAGTATAATAGGAAGAAGAGAGCAAAACTCAAGCTCTTGAGATGAAAACAAACCAAATCTAAACCGCTATACCTTTTGCTTCTTGTTGCCTCAACTCATCGGCTTAGCAATCGAGTTGCCCTTCAACATTCCTGGTATCCGGAGATTGTGAGTTGTATATTCTAGAATGTTCAGTGTTATGTAGAGTGAGAATGGAAACAAAACAGCTAAAATACTTATTATATGATAATCCTCAATTTTATTATTGGATTAATCTATTATAAGTAAAAGTCTAAATCTAGGGTTTCAAATGAAGGTCTAAATATGTAATAATAGATGAAAAAACATATTAAGGAAATAGTGAGATAGTGGCAATATATGAAAGTCAGACAAACATAAGAAAGTCTAAATCTAAATTTATAGCAAGATGAAAGCACACAAAAAATATCAATATGTCTAATCTAAGATCATGGAAAACTACGTAATGTGGCAATAAACATAAGCATAAGCATCACTACTGTCAACTGCTTTACAAAAGGTCCATTTGTGACATCACCAAAAAGTTAAACTAAAGGCACTACTAGAAAAGGGTCAAATAGAGAGGAAACAAATTCATGCCTAAATGACCTATATTCCTTTCTAATTAGGCTAGCAAGGAATCTTCATAGGAAGCGGAAGTCCTCTCTAAAACCTCCCTCGCTGATTTCTAGTTCCTTTCAACATTCCTTTCTAAAATTGTGGGTCACCAAAGTCTATTATTCCTATAATCCTATCTAGTTTCCTTTTGTAAAATTGTGGGTCATCAATTCATTTACTAAATAATTGGGAGAAACATAGATCCTTTCAAATTTTTTATCCTATTAATATAGAATAAATAAAATAAAAATAAATTTGGTTTCTCATAATTATATATATAAAATACTCCGTAACATATATACACATACCGTACAATCGTATATTGCTCGTCATAAATACCACCTTTTTATAAATAACATACAATCAATTTGGAAGTACAATTCAATATTACAAAATGTCATTGACCATAGTAATACTAGTAATATCTAAAACCTTGAAAAGCATGCATGCTCAATTTCAAAAGCTACATATATTAGCGCATAAACACATAGAAAGATCAAATTAGTTAATTTTCATCGATCTTGAAGTCATTCTCATTCCTTCTTTAAGTCCACTGGAAGCTTTCAACAACAAATCTTGAAGTTTTCCATCGCTTCTTTAAGTCCACCAGAAGCTTTCAACACCAAACATTGAGGTTTTCCATTAGAGGTTTGCACTTGAGTTTCCCAAAATTAAAGTCTCCTACAAATTTTCTGCGGAAAAAATAACAAATACTCAACTAATTGATAATACCACATATTCTTCCTGTTTCCTAATCTCCCCCTTATAGCAACGTACTTTAAATAGATATTAGTGCCCATCTAATTACATATTTAAGGGCTTGTGGGCAAATATTTGACTTTCCATACTTCATTTGTAAGAAATAATACATCATCAAAAGTAAGATCTAAGCCTTGTAGTCTCTATATGCACAATAATTTTTTTTTAATTATTCTTTAGAAAAGTTTATTTTAAAATATATTTGTAGAATAAAAGTAATAAACAGACTACCAAACAGACTGAAATAAAAGTAATAATAAGCACAATAGAATTATAATAAATAAACAATGTTCAAATAAAATGTATATCATTTACAAGCTCCTCCGGCTACCATTATGATAATATCTAGAATCATCATATAAATAATCATCTTCGGTCTCATGTTCTCGGTTGTCTCCAGCTTGGCCTTCTCGATTGCCACCGCGACTGCCTCCTCCGCGACTGCCACCTCCGCGACTGCCACCTGCTTGGCTGCCTCCAGATGTTTGAAACAGGTTGTGAAAATTGATATCCTGAATAGAACCAAATGAAGGCAACCCGGTAGCAGAGTTGGTACGGAAATAACCGCCCATGTGCGGAACTTGAGGTGTCTGCTCAGGGTGCAGTACATACGGCTGAGGCTGAGGCTGATTCCGAATTCCGGCGCTGAGGATCCGTTCCATCTCTTCCAGCCGGGCCCTTGTTTCTTCTTCTTTTTTGCGTTGCTCCTCCAAGGTGCGCTGCTGCTCAGCCAAGGCCCGCTGCTGCTCCTCCATCTCCCGCTGCATTTGAGCGATACGCGGATCCTCTCCGCGCCTTGATCGGGAAGATGAAGCACCGCTGCGGTCGTACAAGATCCGTTGCCCCTCAGCCCCCATGCACGGGACCCGGCCCTTGTACACCCCAACTGCCTCAAAGATGGCATCATCCTCCACATCAGAATCAATCTCATCCTCCCGAGTCAAGCCTAATTCTGCCCGCCTCTTCTCAACATTTGTGATATACTTCGACTACATGTACAAAAATTGTTGATTTAATGTTACTCAATTTGATTTTGAATGGAAATAAGTAACAAAATAATGTTACTTACTTCGATTTCAGCGAGGCGGGGCGGCAGATCGGCTTCGGACTCATCGCCGTGCTTTGTCCAGCAGTGCTTGATGACCTTGAGAATTGAGACCTTCTTCTTCTCAGGCCCCGACTACAGTTTGGATAAAAGGCTTAAGATCCATAATTAATTGTTAAAATGAAGGGTTGTAATTGTGTAAGGTTTTTTGAAAAATACTTACAAGATCTTCTTTATGTTTACTTTGAGGTTTGCGGCCCCCATGCCATTGGGTTTCTAAGGCCTTCTCGGACATCCTGTTTTTCTTACCGGATTGACTTCTTGCCAAGAAGTTTGGATCAGAAGACCAGTGACGGACGAGGTTAGCCCACACCTCATCCGAACACCATCCAGGCTTTACCCCGCTCCTTCGGGCACGCTTAAAAGTAGGACGAAGCCAGTTTGAAATCCTAGAGTTATACGCTCTAAGAATAGCGGGACCTTGGGCTTCAGTCCATCGAAACCAACCCTTTATAAAAAACAAATAAATTAGTTTATCTTTTATCAAATGTTACGTTAATACAATTACGCAGAGAAAATTCATATTTTTTACCTTGAAAAGGTTCCACCAAAGTTCACGAACCTTGGGGTCAACTTCTGTGTATGCTGCCCAGTTCCCAAGAAAGTGTCCTCCGATTATGAGTTTGATTTGGTCCAACACTTCTTGATCGCTTCAAAAAATTAATATTATTTATTTATAAAAGTTTTGATTACATTATGATACATTGAAAAAATTATTTCACGTTAGATAAAATTCATAATTACTTACTTCGCAACCATGTGGGGCGTCACCCAAATCGCATTTTCATTGTTGCGCTCAGCTTCGGTTAACGGCACATAGTTTGGGCGGGTACGCGAGGTTGATTGTTCATTGCTCATCTAAAATATATTAATTTATATTTTTAAATATTAGTCTAATCATAATAGAAGATCAAATTTTTATACATTTATCAATTGAAAATGTGTAAAACATATTAAACTGCGTGTAAGTTTAATATGAGGGGTGGTAATTTTATAAATTGTTATTAAATGTAACATGTTAAACTTTTAGGCAAGTTTACATGAGGGAACATAAATTTATTTTCGTACATGTTAAAAAATATATTTTTTTGCATTTTCGTACTATTTTTTAACTTTTCGTACTATGTTTTATAAAACCGTTTATATACAAAACCGTTTTTATACAAAACTGTTTTTATATAAAACAGTTTTATATAAAAAAAAGTTTTACACAAAAACAGTTTTATATAAAAAAGTTTTATAAAAACAGTTTTATATAAAAAAGTTTTATAAAAACAGTTTTATATAAACAGTTTTATATAAAAAAAAGTTTTTATATAAAACTGTTTTTATATAAACAATTTTATTAAAATCTGTTTTTTATTACTTCACTTTTTAATAAAAATTGTTGAATAAAAAATCTGTTTTTCATAAAAAATGAAAAACAGATTGTTTTAAACTTTAAAAATGATTATTATTTCACTTTTTAATAAAAAATGATTACTACTTCAACTCATTTGTTTTAAACTATAAAAGCTGTTTACTAAACACTTTTTATTATAATGTGTTTTTCATTAAACTATTTAATAAAAACAGTTTTTATTAAACGGTTTAAAAATAAGTTATCTATTAAACTGTTTTTATAATCTATATTTTATATTTTATATTTTATTTTGGAAAGCAGTTTTTAATGTTTATTATTAAAATATGATTTTATTTGATTAGAATCTGATTTTATTAAACTGTTTTTTAAACTTTTTTTTATTAAATTGTTTTTTATCAAACTGTTTTTTATTAAACTGTTTTTCATTAAACTGTTTAATAAAAAAACAGTATATTATTAAAGTGTTTTTAATAATCTATATTTTATATTTTATTTCGAAAAACAGTTTTACTGTCTTAATTAATATTTTATAATTAACATGTTGAACTTTTTTGGAAGTTTAACATGAGGGGATATTTTTGCATAATAATCCTGCATAAGTCCATAATAATCCAAACAATGTCTAAATAATTCTAAATAATCTCCAAAATAACCTAAATAAATCGGTTAAAACATAAGTACGAAATAATAATAAAAAAAAAATTTCAATAATCATGCATGTGGTTTAAATAAAAAGCACACGTTTATACATGGATATGAAACCTATAACTGTAATCTAAGCATGCATATTGAACATAAAATTTCGAATATTATGTCTAACAAATTGTATCAAATTTTGAACACATATTTTAAAAAAATAAATAAGTAGAGCATGCATTATTCAAGAAATAGAGTATAATACGAAAAAAACCTTTGTAAATTAATAATTAATACTAATATAACTAATTGAACAATAAAAGTATGCCTTTGAGTATATACATTCGGATATTTCAAAACAAATAGAGCATGCATATTAATAACAATTAAAACAAAACATGAATTTTTAAAAAATTTAAAAAATTAATAATTAATTATTAACATACAAAAAAACATGCATTGGAGTATATATACATGCATTTGAGTATATGAACATGCATTTGTAAGTTAAAATAATTAAGAAAACATAACCTTGATATAGAGAGAGGCGCGAAAAAAACAAATGTGGGGACTTAAAGGGCGGTAACCGGCGGCGGCGACGTCAGCGGACTGCGGACGGCGGTAGACGACGGATAAGAGCGGTCGGTGGCGACGGACGGTGGAAGGCGGCGGTGGAGTTCGAAGGGAGTGAGAGACAGAGAGAAGATCGAGGTAAAGGGAGGAGAAGGCCGGGGAGATTTAGGGTTAAGAAATAAGGTGGAATTGAAAAAATCGCTAAGGGTTGGTTTTATATCACGGTGTAGTCACGGTCTTAGTCACGGATATATCCGTGACTAAACCCTTCGTAATCAGCGAAATCACCCACGCGGCATCCGCCGCCTTTGACCGGTTTAGTCACGGTTTTAACCGTGACTAGAACCGTGACTAAATTCAAAATTTGAATTAGTCACGGTTTTAGTCACGGTTAAAACCGTGACTAGACCGGCGGCCCTGACACTTCTCCGACTGCCAGACTGACAGGTTAGTCACGGAATTATCCGTGACTAAGACCGTGACAACTTGAAATTTTTTAGTATAAATCATCTTTCTCCGGCCCAAGACTGAACTGTAAAAAAAATGGCTAATAGAGGTCCAATTGACTGGGATTCGATGTGTAGAGATATGAAACGACTTAAGCTGATTACAGAGCTTATGGAGCCGAAAACCGTGGAAGCATACGAGAGAATCAAGGAGTTGATGTCTAGACCCCTTGAAAGTTTTGGCGATTATAAAGATGAAGAATCCGACTCGTTGGGCAAGTCAAAAGCAAGAAATTTGTGTCGGATGCTTCAACGTGCACAAGAAGTTTCAGAGTATATGGACCCGATCAACGAAGAAGCTCGAATGAAAATTCAGGAGTTGTGGGCTAGGCCTCTTGAAAGTTTCCGATTGAGGAATGAATAATGTTAGTTAGGTTAATGTGATAAATAAATCTATGTTAGTTGTTTGATAAATAATATGTGACAATTTCATTGTGTGTTTTGTATTTATCTTTGAAATTTGATAAATAAATCTCTGTTAGTTGTTTATTAATATCTAAATTTATTATAATATTCAGATTAGTAAAAGTAAATTACTTTTTTTTTTAATTTTCGAATTTTGTTAATTTTCGAATAGACTTAGAATTATTAAAATTAATTTTCGAATTTCGAATTATTAAAAATTATTAAAATAAATTTTCGAATTTAGAAAAATCAAAAATAATATTTGAATTTTCGAATTTGAAAATAAAAGAATATAATATAGAGTAATTTCATATTTTGTATTGGGTAAATTTTAATTTTCAAACTTCGAATTGTGAAAAATTTTATTTTGAATTTATAATATGGATATAAAAAACTTGTTGTGGTTGAATTAATATGGAGTAATTTTTTGTTCATAAATAATCTATTAATATCTAAAGGAACACTTTTTTTGTGAATAGTGTTCCCCCCAAAAAATGTCAACATCACATATTAGTTCATTTTTCCATCAAAAAAATTGGAAAATCAAATCAAATTTTGTGATGAGATTATTAGAGCCTCAGAATATAATTTGGTGATCTTGGTGAGGCCCATGGTGTCCGCTTCTTATTGGCTAATAAAATGGTGTACTATTGACAATGAAATTCCCATATGTTTCTATTGGGCAGTGAGGTCGGCTGCACTGTTTACTAAAATAGTTAGGTTTGTTTTTATGGCTGAGATTAATGTGGGTAGGTATTGGGTGGAATACAATTTTCTTATTGGTTCAAAGGGGTAGGTAGATCTGATTTAGTGCATGGAAATTCAGAGCCAAGATTTGGTGTATTTTAATGCTTCATTCCTATTGGTCAAGGGGGTGGTGGAATAGTGAAATTATTTATCAACTCTTAACAGTTGACAAAGCTTTGCTGCCTATTTAAAGGAAATAGGGATGCAAGCCACCACCATTGTCATTCGCATAGCAAAACATATCAGCCTGAATATCCAAACCAAGCTAAATTTCTTGGGAGATGTGAAACTTATGAAAACTTCGTATGAAGAGAGCATTAATTTTTTGCTATAAATACTTGCATCCTCATATCAAATGAACACCTTTCTTTTGCCTCTTCCCTTTCATTTAAGTTTTGTGCCTACAATAAAAAAGAATAACATCACGTATGTACACACACTCAAAGGAAAGTATCTGTTGAAAGGAGAAAAGTGAAAGGCATACAACATTGCACGTATAAGCAACTGAAGAAAAAGCAAGAATACTTTGTTGAAAGGAGTATATATGTGTGTGTATACACTGAAAGGAAAGCAACTACTCAAAGGAGAAGAGCAAATGGGGATACAACTCTAGGAATATAAGCAGAAGAAGAAGAAGAAGAAGAAGAAGCATAGTCCTGCTGCAGGTTCACAGCTATGGATAGTCCATAGCTAACCACTAATGATTTGCAGCTCATGCAAAACCAAACAAAAACTTCTATCCTAAACTCATTGATTTCAGTTTAAGATATACAACTTGGGCAGGTTTAGCTATGCCCGTGAAATCTCTATTTTCATTTTCTAGAATGGGCAGGTTATTTGTTTTCTAATTTTCCAAGGTTTGAAATCAAATTACTGAAAAAACTTATAATTTCGTTTACGAGTACAGACTGGGCAAATGAAATATGTTTAAGATGGGAAATATACATCATTTTTTTAAACATAATTGTTAAGATGGGGGATTTTCAAAAAAATGTTAAGATATGGATTGTGTTTTTTATAAAAGTTAGTGAATGTTAGAAGAATCAAAATGTTACCTGGAGTACAATTCACCTATAATTAATTCTGAGTCTTCAATATATACTTCATAGAGAAGAGTAAAATAGGGAACTTTACAGTGCTTTAGTAAAGACAACCACTTCATTGATTTCATTTCATTTCAAGAGATTATCATTTAAGATTAAAATATATAATTGATTTCATTTCATTTCAAGAGATTATCATTTAAGATTAAAATATATACAATTTGGGCAGATATTAGCTATACACACGAAATTGTTGTTTTCATTTTATAAGATAAAAACACACCAATTAGATTAACCAACCCCAGAAAATGATTTCAATGAATTCTTGAGTTTACAAAATATTATTAAAAATGGCATGGACATTATATTCGTTTGTAATTCTATACTTGAGATTTTAAATATTGAAAAGTAGACCAGTACTTTTACTACTTTTAATGAAATATCCTTCTAAACTCATGCAAAACCAAACAAAAACTTCTATCCTAAACTCATTGATTTCAGTTTAAGATATACAACTTGGGCAGGTTTAGCTATGCCCGTGAAATCTCTATTTTCATTTTCTAGAATGGGCAGGTTATTTGTTTTCTAATT